CCTCCATTCCCCTCCTCTGATTTTTCTTTCAGAGACGAAGAACGTGTCTGACAGAGCGGAGAAAATTTGAGTTTTGCTGGGTACGTATGATTCTTTTGTGGTGCCTTCAGTGGGCAGAAATGGCGGTTTGGCTCTTTTATTTTCAAAAGAATGGAATATTTCAATAATTTACTTTTCTGAATTTCAAATTACCTGCAAAGTTGTTGGTGGCAGGGACGCTCAGCCTTGGTTTTTCACCGGTGTATATGGGTCTTGTTCATAGAAAGATCGTGTGTACCAATAGAGATATATTCATAATCTAAAATTTCAATTAGGTCCCAACTGGTTCCTAATGGGTGATTTTAACGCTTTATTACATCGAGATGAAAAATTGAGGGGTCGCATGAAACAAGGATGGATGCTTAAGGATTTTAAAAATTTTCTTGAGGATTGTGGTCTTGTGGATATCAGATTCAAAGGTTTCCCTTTCACTTGGCACAACAAACGGGATACAAGAGACCTGATTCTTGCCAGACTTGACCGAGCTCTCTGTACAAATCAATGGTTGCAGTCATTCCCGCGTTGCATGCTTTATCACCTTAATGTGTAGGGTTCAGATCATAATGCCATCATGTTGTCCTTCAATGATTCTATCTCTCACGTTAAGAGAAATTTTCACTTCGACGCTCGCTGGGTGAAGGAGACAGAGTTTACTCCTATCGTAGAAAAGGCTTGGGACACCCTGTTTTATGGCCCTCCATTGGATTGTATCAATAAAAAATTAAGCATGTGTCAATCGGACCTCAAGTTCTGGAGAAGGGGAAAATGCAACAATGCCCACTGGAAAATTATGGATTTAGAGGGGAAATTGAAGCACCTTCAAGAACAAGTGTCTGGGTATGATAAAGCTTTTTTTTCAAGCTTGAACAGGAGTTGGGAAATGCTTGGCGAGAAGAAGAGATTTTCTGGTTACAAAAATCAAGAATTGTCTGGCTTAAACATGGAGACCAAAATACAAAATTTTATCACCGCAAAACTCAAATTCGTAAAAGGAAAAATGAGATCATGGGTCTTGAAGATACAAATGGCCAGTGGTGGAACTCAAAGAATGACATTCGTCGAGTGGCCGAAGATTATTATCAGCTTCTCTTTTCCCTCGCTCCTGTCCATGTTGATGCCGAGTTACATCGGAGATGAACAACGATCTTCTCAAAGAAGGTACAGAAGCGGAATTACGGTTTGCTCTTGCAAGTATGGGTCCATACAAGGCTCCTGGCCCTGATGGTTTCACCCCCCTTTTTTCCAAACGAATTGGGATATTTTGAAGGTTGATCTTGTTCAGGGATTCAATTCTTTTCTTCAAGGTGATGCTCTGCCGCGCAGTCTCAATGCTACTAATCTGGTGTTCATCCCTAAGGTAAAACACCAAACTTCTATGGTTAATTTTAGGCCTATATCATTGTGCAACGTGGCTTACAAGATCTATTCCAAGGCTTTGGCAAACAGGCTCAAGCCTCTTCTTTCAATGCTTATAAGTGATAATTAAAGCGCCTTTGTGCCACACCGCCTCATTCACGATAATATTATGCTTGCCCAGGACCTTATGCATGTTCTCAAATCAAAGAAAACTAGAGAGAACTATTTCATGGCTTTGAAATTAGATATGGCGAAGGCTTATGATAGAGTTAATTGGGCTTTTCTCAGCCAATTTATGAGCCACTTGGGGTTTGATAGGCGATGGGTGACTTTGTTGATGGAGTGTATTAGCTCTGTTTCTTACTCCGTTCTCATTAACAGGGAAATGGGTGATTCGGTCAGTCCCTTTAGAGGCCTAAGACAGGGAGACCCTTTATCTCCCTATCTTTTTTTTTTTTTAAGCCGAAGGTCTTTCAACTCTGTTCCACCACTCTTTGAGTTGTAAACAGCTTCTTGGCCTAAAAATGGGCCGAGGTTGTCCTTCTATTTCACATTTATTATTTGCAGATGATGCCCTCATTTTTTGTAAGGCTAAGGATCCAGAGGTAGGGTAGGTGAAAATTCTTCTTAACTAATATGAAGCTTTAACCGGTCAACTCATCAACTTGGATAAATCTTGTTTGTTTTTTTTCTCCCAATACCTCCTTATCTCAAGGGACCCAATCCAGTCTATCTATGGGCATTTGCAATGTCGACTGGTCCAACAAGTACCTTGGTCTTCCTTCCCTTCTGGGTCGCTCTAAAGTGGCAGCGTTTGCTTTTCTTTCGGAAAAAGTTTCTTCTAAAACCAAATCTCTCAAAGGTAAATTGCTTTCCAAAGCCGGCAAAGAGGTTATGATTAAAACTGTTCTTTCGGCTCTCCCAACTTATGCAATGCAGTGTTTCCGAATTCCAAAGAACAATTGCAATGTCTTGATTAGTAAATTCCTTAATTTTTGGTGGAGTGGTGAAGAGACATCTAACAAGATTAAGTGGATCAGTTGGGACACCCTCTGTAAATCCAAAGCCAGTGGCGGCATTGGTTCAAAAATGTTGAAGCTTTCAACTTGGCTCTTCTGGCTAAGGTGGCTTGGAGGATGGAGATTGGAGATGAGTCTTTGTTGTACAAATCTTTTAAAAAGAAGTACTTCAAGAATTGCATCTTTATGGAGTCTCCCAATAGAGCATCTGCTTTTTGGGTTTGGAAGAGTATTATTTCCGCAAAGGAGGTTATTAAACGAGGCATGAGGTGGCACATTGGTGATGGTTCAGCGGTTAACTGTTGGTTAGACAATTGGCTTCCTGATAGGACTAATCTGGCTGTAACTTCAAGCAAGCTTGGAGCTCCTTTCTTATTTGTGGTAGATTTGATCATCCCATCCACCTCTAAATGGAATTCATCCTTGGTGTGTCAACATTTTAATCGGTGTGACAGTGATCTCATTCTCAAAATTCCCATCATTGTTTATAGAGGTGCTGACATTAAAGTTTGGGGTTGCTCTAAGGATGGTCAGTTTTCGGTAAAGAGTGCTTATCATGTCGCTCTCTCCTTTCTTAATAATTCTCAAGTTTCCAAGTCTGATATGGGCAGTAGCTTTAAAGCCAGTCAAAACGCGATGTGGAGTACTGTTTGGAGAATTCATGCATATAAAAAAATTCAACTTTTTGTTTGGCAATGCCTTCACGAGAGGCTTCCAGTGAACAAACAACTAAGTTTTTATGGGGCTACTGCGGTATCTTGTTGTGCTTTTTGTGGTTTTTACGACGAAACTGTTGATCACCTTCTTTGCACGTGTCCTTTTGCTTGTACAGTGTAGAAGTTAAGTCCTTTTAGAATTGATTTTGGTGGCCAACAGCCTTCTTTTTGGCCAAAACGGTGGGTCGACCTTTGCTCGGTATAGAGTTCGTCCGAGGGCTCGGCTGAGTGTATTGGGCTGGCCGCTTTCATCTGTTGGTCCATCTGGAGGTGCAGGAATGATCTAGTGTTTTCTATGAAATCTTGGGACCCTTTTGATGCTTTTCAACAGGCTCTTAAGGATTTTCAAGAATTTCGAGAGGTTTCTCATCAACACTGTCTTCTCTCTCTCCCAACAACTTTTGTCTCCTCCCCGTCGAAAAAGTGGTCTGCCCAGGCGATAGGTTTTTACAAACTTAATTTCGACGCTGCATTTAACTCTTTTTCTCATTCTTGTGGTGGAGGTATGATTCTCAGAAACAATTTGGGCCAACCTATAAAAATTGCTTCAGTGTTCCTGCTTTGGCTGAAGCTTTGGTGCTTCGTGAGGCTCTTTTGTTTCTAAAGAGTTGGGATTATCTGCATGTGGTGGTTGAGGGGACTGTCAATCAGTCATGAAGTTGCAACCAACTGTTGAAGCTCTCTGTGTGGTGTTCAATGATATATTAGCTCTTTTAAAGGAATGTGTAGGTTCTTCTTTGGCGTGGATTCCTCGTGGAGGAAATGTTATAGCTCACTTGTTAAGCAGGAAGGCTCTTGAAGCCAATTGTAGTGATTCCGAGTAGAGTATATGGCCTTAATGGTTGTTAGATGCTCTTCTCCCTGAATGTAATTTTTCCTTTTCTTAATCGATGCTCTCTGTTGGTGTTAAAAAAGAAAAAAGAAAAAAAAGAACCACTTTTACCAAGCCTACTTTGAAATAGGGGTACAAGTTGGGCAGGCCCAGCCCAGCTTGGTCCCAACCCAAACTCAACCCGAAATCGAGCTGGGTTGGCCCGATTTCAACTCATAGCTGGGCTCCTAAGTAATCCAAGCCCAACAATTTCACGGCGGACGGGTTGACCCATTCAACAATTTATTTATTTATTTTTAAAGACATTAATTTTTTTATGCTTCCAACTAATTTTATTTTTATTAAAGCAACCAAAATAAAACGTATCTTATTTTGTTTTAGATATAAAAATAAAAAAAACTTTTTTTCTTGTTATTTTTTATTAAATAAACTTTAATTTTTAAATTTTTCCAAAAAAACCATAAAACAAACTTATACATATATAAGCAGCCCGAGATCAGACCAAATTTTTTTGAACAAAAGGTAAGAAAGAGAGAAAAGCCCTACAACATTGGAATCAAACAAGTCTTTCTTTCTTGATACATGAAATATGGAAATTACTTAGGATTACAATCAATCATGTATTTATAGACATACATGATTTAGGATTGCAATCAATCATGTATTTATAGAAAACATGGAAACATCAATCATGTATTTAAAAGAACTAATTTATTTATTTAGGATTGCAATCGATCATGTATTTATAATTTTATAATAAGAACAATTTATAATTTTATAATAAGAACAATAATGGAGCTTAGGATTTTCAGAAAACAATGCATGCTACCAACCGTTTTCAAAGTCTCTGAAGCTCAATGTCCATCTACATTCAAAGGAGAGAACACTTCCCCTACAATTCAACAAACATTTTGCATTATGCGATTTGATTAAAGTAAGACACACACACACACACAACAAACTAATTTTCACATCTTCTTTATAGGAAACCAAAATTGAGCAAAGCTTTCAATAACAACATACAGGAGATCAAAGAGATGGCATACAAGCACTTTCTTATGTTGTATAACTTTTCTGAACCAATTTACCAAAGTAACTCTTATTTCAAATACATATCTGAATGAATAAATTTTACTTGTCACCAATACAGACCTTTTAATCAGTTCTTCAAGTTCGATCAACAAATATCTCTTCAATACATGCTTCCATGGTTTTCTTTGTCCAAATGCTTGCATATTTTTCTTTCTGAACTGGTAAGAACCAACAATGAACCAAGGACATATACATTCGACCTAATCTTCCCCTTCTTCTCTGTCTCTTGGGACAGCGCCAAATCGATCGACGAGAATGTCCACAACTAAGGGCACCAAGTCCTTGCAAGGGACACCCTTCTTATAAAGATCTCCCAAATGCGAGTCACTCCCAATTCTCCCTCCCAAGAAGACATCTACCCCTTCGCACATCTTCCCATTCTCATCCCTTGCCATGCACCCCATGAATCCGATATCCGCCACTTGAACCTGCCCACAGCTATTGGGGCACCCTGTCCAGTGCATCCTCACTGGCCGAGTCACTGAAACTAGCCGTTGTACCTCCTCAGTCACCTTCATTGCCCGGGCCTTTGTCTCAATTATGGCTTGCCCACAGAACTGATTGCCAGTGCAGGCTACCAATCCTTTCATTAGAAGAGGAGGCTCCGGCAAAAACCTGTCCTTTAGAAGAGGCTCCTTCAATAAGGCCTCAAGTTTCGAGTTCTCAATGTTAGGAATGACAATGTTTTGTTCCACAGTGAGCCGGAGTTCTCCTGAGCCATATTCGTCTGCTAACCGTGCAAGCGCATCCATATCATCTGCTTGGACACGACCTACTGGGATGTGAAGTCCCATGAAGCTAAAGCCTTCCTGTTTCTGTGGATGGACACCGAGATAATCTCTCCTCTCCCACTTCTGTTCAACCAGATCTTCGGAAGATGATCTCTCCAGCTCTTGTTGAGGCATTCTCTTCACTACCTCTGACCGGAATCCTTCTATGCCCTGCATTTTCACAATCAAAAGGAAATAAGAAATGATGGTATGTTTACCATGTCATGAATCTTTTGGGATACGTTAGACTACCATTTTCCGCAAAATTTCAAGCTGTTAAGGAATGAATCCAAAAATATATATCAAGTTCTCCCTGACTACACAAATACAATTCACATAGCGTGACAAAAGAGGAGAATATGACCACTCACAAGTTCATCAATTAACCACATCATTCTTGTTTTTTGCCTGTTCCCTCTAGTGCCGAGGTCTCTGTAAGCCTCCAACACGGCTTTGCACACTGGGATCACATCATCTGCTGGAACCCAGGCATCAAGAGGAATTGCCTCTGCACACCGCTTGGGGCTAAAGAATCCCCCCACTAGCAAATTGAATCCAAGCCGACCATCCTTTGTCGCAGGCATGTAAGCAAGATCATTGATGTGGGGATGCTCATAAAGATCGTGAGAACCCACTACACATACATTCCACTTCCTCGGTCTGCATCAATATAGATATACACAAAACTGTCACAAAAATGTGGCTTCTTTCATAGTTATTCTCATCAGATTCGAGAAATTAGTGTTTTTGTTCGTATAAATTCATTATTTTGAGTTTCATTCTACATCAGTAAAAAAGATACATCCATATAGTATCTAGGCCTTTCTCATACATACTAACACATGCAAAACAACTTGAGCCTCAAAAATTATACACCCATATTTGAACATTAAAAGAACTACAAAGGGAGTGTATTTTTACTTACAAGTTAGTGAATGCTGGATTGCCAAGTGAATTGGCAGTGATGAATTGGGAAAGCAAGTTTGCATAAGGCCTTGTATCGACAATCTCATCTGGATCAATCCCTGCAAGAGGATTACCAACTGGGTTCCTCACATTGTCCATGCCACTTTGCAAGCTTGTCAAGCCAACTTCGGCAAGTCCCTTTAGAATTTCTGGCACATCAGGCAGTACCACGCCACGAATTTGCCAGTTTTGCCTTGTAGTCACATCTGCACAGCCCTCCTTCCCATATTTCCTTATAGCACTGGCTAGATATCGAGTCTGTGCGCTTGTTGTTACACCATTTGGTAGCTTCAGTCTCATCATGAATCTACCATCTGATCATAACCATTAAATACAAATTACAAAAAAAAAAAAAAAAAAAAAAAATTGGAATCTATAGTAGAATCTTGTTATAGGGTAATGAGAATAAAATCAATAAAATCTATGGAATTATACTGCAATTGATTACTGAAAATTTTGGGAACAAAAATGAGAACTTGGAATTTTTATATAGGATGGGTTGGAGTGATGTCATAAAAATTTCAAGCCCAAGAGGAATCATATGCAAATATGCACTTTCTTTTCTTTTCATCAATCTTATCATCAACCAAACAAAGGGTACCTTTTTTTTCTTTTAATATTTTTTTTTTAAACATTGGCAAGAAACACACCCACCAACTTGCCCCTATGAGACTTGAATCTTGATCTTCCAAAGTGGAATGTATAGCTGGTAAAGGTATCATACACTGATTTAAGAAACTCCATTCTTTAATGATTCAACAACTTTAGATTCCAGGAAAAAAAAAAAAAAAACTTTAGATTCCAAGCTCAGATCCAAGCAATTAATCTTGTTTTATTAATTGAAAGAAGTTTTAGAAAACTCATTATAGTAATTTATCAGAAGTTTTTATTTTTATTTTTTTTATCTATCAATATATATATATCAGAGCTTTCAGTTTAAAATTACACATTATAATGGGAGTACAACTCATAAAATTTAAAATTTCCAAAAAAAGAAAAAAGAAAAAAAGAAAACTAATAAAATTTATGAATTTTACAGATCTTATACAATAATCCATGCAATTAATTCAACAGACAAGTATCAAAACTCGAAAAAAAAAAAATATAAATAGAACAATATGAGGGTAATTTTCTTAAAAAATAAATTCTTAATTTATGTAAAATAGAACCAATTTGAGCTGTTGGACTTACATTGATGCTTTCTTCTGTGGAATAAACCAAGCCACTTTAGCCTCACATCAATATCATCCTTAGTGAGCTTTGATTTCTCTATCTCTTCAAATGGGGTCTTAGCAATTTCCTCAATACCATTTTCAATGACTAGTTTCATGGGCTCTTTTTCAATCTTCACCTTTTCTTGAGGATTTATACCTCCCCTGAACTTCTCCTTCAGTACCCAATACCCTTCTCTTTCCTCCACTCTCGGCTCCAGCCTCTCCCCATCGATCTCCGCCGCTCCTGGCGGCGACGTCACAACCTTCGTGGTGGCCGGAGTGGCGTAGAGTCTGGTTTTGGAACGGTTCGAGTAATTTGGCAATGAAGGTGCCAAAAATCGAGCTGAAATTGATGACATGGGATTACAGTAAGCGGAAAATTATAGGCGGTGGTGATGGTTGTGGCGGTGCCGGCGGTGGTGATAGTGAGAGGATTAGAGAGAGAAGAGATGGATGTGAGCATTTTGTAGAGGATGGTTTGGGACCTTAGGAGAGTGTGAAGAGAGGAGGAGGTTGTGACCGTGTCCTGATAGTACCGACTCTTGGTAGTTGTCAAGAGTCGTATTACCTTGGATATTGTGAAAAGGGGCGGTTTGTGTGTTTTTACTAAAGTACCCCTCCCCCCTTTTTGGTAAATTTCACTTACCTACTTTGAGATTTATCAATATCCCACATAGACCCATCCATGTTTTATAATTTCATTTTCTCCTTTAAAGTTCTGATTTATGTAAGGGATTATCCCTACTTGACTATTTTGCCCTTATTATTATGTCTGAAATGACATCAAACATTTCATGTGTAGTGTAATTATGAAACGTATAAATGTCTATGTGGAATATTGACAACTTCAGGGGAGGTAAGTAAAATTTATCATTTTTTATAAATATAAAAAAAACTTGTGACCTCTACTTAATGACTATGCTATGACAATTCAACGCCAATTATGAAAAAAAAAAAAAAAATTGAGAATAGAAACTTGTGCCACGTGCGTACTTACGAGGGACTTAAGTTGGTTGTGCGGGGCACGCGTCCACATTTTCTATGTATAACTATGAAATAATATAATAAAATGATCTTCAAATGAACAGTTAGCCCTAATAATATGATAGAGTAAATTTTCAAATGATTTTCATATGCATTAAAGTAAATTTTTTGCAGGGCTTGTTTTAAGAAATTTATGGTAGCAATTAATTATGTCAAGTTATTCGGCTTGATTATTGACTTTGAATAGCATCGATCAAAGATATATGTATGTTAGATGTAAGGACTATAGTCTAGTGGTACTTTCTCGACTTTCAAACTAAAAGGTAAAGGTTAAAAAAAAAAAAAAAAAACATTGGTCTAACCATAGTTCGAGTTGCGATCAATCACGTCTTAAACGCGGTCGATCGCATTCACGACAGAAGCTCAACAACTTCAGATCTTGAGCTCTCTTCATCACAACTTTGAGGTGCATTCAGCCCACGAGCCATAGAGCCTCGATCTGACCATTTTCGAGCCTTAAACCAAGGTATATAGAAGAAGGATCCAAATTGAATGGGAGACTTGAATTAGAATTGATCTTGAGCAAGGCTTGGAGCACTTTTTCTCTCTAAAGTTCTCTTCCACCATTGAAGGACTCTGGATGTGCTTGGAAATGGTGAATCAAGCTTCCAAGATGATCAAATCCTCCTCTATGGCTAGCTAATTCTTCTCTTAGGGCTGGATGAAGCCCTAAGTCAAGTATTGTATTATTTGTTTTCAATTTGGGGTTTAAATTGTGTAGATTGTATAACCTTGAGGATTGGACTTGGTTGAACCAAGCTAGTTTGTGTTTAAATGCTTTAATCAATCTTCTTATGATCTTTATATTGTCTTATACATTGATTGTGGTTGATTGATCTCAACATCTTCACTCTTTGTAATTGTGTGGATGATGGTTATACAATGGTGCTTAGTTGATGTAATTGCATTTAATTTGATAATTAATTCTCAGATTTGATGGATTGTACTATAACTCTAGAATAGAAGTAGGTAGGTAGACAATGCATGTTAAGTTTTGATAAATTATATATGTTGATGTAATTTACATATCCTATTGATCTCTATTGTGTGCTTGTAGCCACAACTCTTTTATGCACAATTATTTCCCCAATTTGATTGCAATGATACAATTATAAGGCCAATGTTGGATTCCATGCCCTAAGCTCTTCATCAGTATCTTTTTTTCTTTGTTCATTATCATTACTCTTTCTTGCATTTACTTTAGCCTACTTAGTTGTTAATTAGGATCAAACAAACACCTCTCTTATCATATCATTTGTCCATTAATTTGAGGTTGAATCAAGTTACTAGTCCTTGTGGACAATCCCTACTCTCTATATTACATAGACTAATGGTTTAAAATTTTAAAATTGATTTTCTCAAACTCTAAAACCACATTTCTAAACATTACATTGATTTTTGAAATGACTAAGCAAACATCAATAATGAAGATTGCATGCCAACCCGATATGTAGATACTGACAACATGGGATGACTTATATTGCCACCATGAAAAGGAACCTGGCTAACGCTGATTCTCAAGAATTACTCACAGAGGTCCATCGGCTGAAGATAGAGCTTCGTCGGCCAGCTTCAGAGACTTAAAAAAAAAATATTAATGGTGGTCGATCCAACTAAAATGGGCCTTACTGAGGCCTTTAAGGCCGATTCTATCAATCTGGAGACCTACTCGGTCGAAAGCAAATTAGCTATAAAAGAAATTTTGTTCTTTTCACATGTGGCTGAGATTATTAAGGAATATGAAAGTTTGAGAAGATGAGTTAGGAAAACTCCTTATTGACGTGACGTCATTCTTCTAGTAGAGATGATAGTTAGATCGGCCAATATGACTCTTCACGATAACTTAATTTCGGTCAATGCCTTGATAGTAGAATTGGAAAACGTAGCTTGTTGATTTTGCCATCTTATTCCAAGTGATTAGCTCACCCTAGTTCAAATATTTTTTTCTAATGTACTTTTAATTTTAAATATCTTATCGGCCTGGTGGCTGACAGTCGATAAATCTTTTGAAATTAGGGACATAACTAACATCCATTAATTAATCAAGTAAAACACCTCTCAATATGTCAAAACCCAATTACCTTGTATGCGACCACATAGTACAATAACAAATGAACTTTGAGCAAATTTTTTTGCTATGTTAGATTGTATGAAATTGGTATCTTAAAATTAGAATTGAAGAAAATTTAATTCAATATTTAAGTTAAATTTTCTTCAAATTCAATTCTAAGACACTAATTCTATGCTGCGAAAGCTGGTAAAGAAGAATATAAATGAGATCAAATATCTTCTAAAAAAAAAAAAGTAAATAAAAAACAGACAAACAAACATGATATGAAAGAGATGGCATACAAGCATTTTCTTATGTTTTTTTACTTTTCTGAACCATTTGCTAAAGTAAATCTTATTTTAAATACGTATTCGAATAGGGTCTACCACCAAACAGTTGTAAACTTATCAAAAAAAACATAGGGTCTGTTTATTTTGTCACTCAGAAAATAATTTTCAAAAACTCAAAAAAAGAAAAAAATTGTGTTCAGAGAACTATTTTTCATAATTTCCTCATAATAGGCTTTTCTAAACTAAGTTTTCATAATTGTTCTCTGATTTTCAGTTCTTAGAAAACTGAACCATTACACAGTTTTTATTTTTATTTTTATAATATATATATATATATATATATATATATTGTGTGTGTGTCCAAATGCTTGCACATTTTTCTTTCCGAGCCAGTACAGACCAACAATGAACCAAGGACATGTATATTAGAACTAATCTTCCCCTTCTTCTCTGTCTCTTGGGACAGCGCCAAAGCGATTAACCAAAATGTCCACAACTAAGGGCACCAAGTCCTTGCAAGGGACACCCTTCTCAAAAAGATCTCCCAAATGTGAGTCACTCCCAATTCTCCCTCCCAAGAAGACATCTATCCCTTCACAAGTCTTCCCATTCTTATCCCTTGTCATGCACCCCATGAATCCGATATCAGCCACTTGAACCTGCCCACAACTATTGGGGCAGCCTGTCCAATGCATCCTCACTGGCCGACTCACGGAAACTAGCCGTTGCAGCTCCTCACTGAGCTTCAGTGCCCGGGCCTTTGTCTCGATTATGCCTTGCCCACAGAACTGATTGCCAATGCAGGCTACCAACCCTTTCATTAGAATAGGAGGCTCTGCCAAAAACATGTCCTTTAGAAGAGGCTCCTTCAATAAGGCCTCAAGTTTCGAGTTCACAATGTTGGGAATAACGATGTTTTGCTCCACAGTGAGCCGTAGTTCTCCTGAGCCATACTCGTCTGCTAACCGTGCAAGCTCATCCATATCATCAGCTTGGACACGACCTACCGGGATGTGAAGTCCCACAAAGCTAAAGCCTTCCTGTTTCTGTGGATGGACACCAAAATAATCTCTCCTCTCCCACTGCTTATCAACCAGATCTTCGGAAGATGATCTCTCCAGCTCCTGTAGAGGCATTCTCTTCGCTACCTCTGACCGGAATCCTTCTATGCCCTGCATTTTCACATTCAAAACGAAATAAGAAATGATGGTATGGTTACCATGTCATGAATCTTTCGAGCTACTTCTTATCACTTGGTAGGGTACGATAGACTACCAAGAAAGTCTGTTTGGTTTTGGAGTCTATTTGTACTTCGACCCTTTGGACATCAAGAAAGTTTGTTTGGTTTTGGAGTCTATTTGTACTTCGATCCTTTGGACATGGTTCGAGGTCTGGTATCTTATTTGGCCAAAAATAACGTTAGGCTAACATTTTTCGCTATATATATATATGTGTGTGTGTGTGTGTCACTAACTACAATAATATGAAATATGACTTGCTTAGTGTGACATTAGAGGAGAGAAGGACCACTCACAAGTTCATCAATGAGCCACATCATTCTTGTTCTTTGCCTGTTCCCTCTAGAGCCAAGATCTCTGTAAGCCTCAAGCACTGCTTTGCACACGGAGATTACATCATCCGTTGGAACCCACGCATCAAGAGGAATTGCCTCTGCACACCGCTTGCGGCTAAAGAATCCGCCCACTAGCAAATTGAATCCAAACCGACCATTCTTTGTCGCGGGCATGTAAGCAAGATCATTGATGTGGGGGAGCTCATAAAGATCGTGAGAACCTACTACGCATACATTCCATTTCCTCGGTCTGCATCAATATGGATATACACAAAATTTTCAACTAAAAAAGTTCAAATGAATAATTCCATATTTTGAAAACACACACCCCCATGTATCTAGGCCTGCCCTATGAAAAACTACTTAAAGCCTCAAAAAGGGAGTGTATGTTTTACTTACAAGTTAGTGAATGCTGGATTGCCAAGTGAATTAGCAGTGATGAATTGGGATAGCAAGTTCGCATAAGGCCGTGTATCGACGATCTCATGTGGGTCAATCCCTGCAAGAGGATTACCAACCGGACCCCTAACGTTGTCCATGCCGCTCTGCAAGCTTGTCAAGCCAACTTTGGCGAGCC